CGAATAACGGCCATCATCCTTTGACCGAAGCCATTTGGCTGCGAGAAACTAAATAAAAGAGATTTTAAACTCCTTAGCTGATGTTTCGTTTATCTTTGTATTTCGCTTTACTCGCTAAACTTAAAATTTGGCAGACCACAGAGACGTACTCTCCCCAGACCTTTTCAGTCACGGCAGCCGTAGTAGCACCAGCCATAGTGATTTGCTTAAACTACCTATTTCCTAGATAGCAGATCCAACCATTTGTTAAAGCAAAAGTAACAATGGAGTGCAATGCTACAAGTGAACTACGTACAAATAACTGTTTACTGACTCTTCAAGCTTGTTTACTGAGTGCAAATGACCACCCTTAAATGATTCTAACTTTGGCCTCAGAGTGCAAATGTCTGAGAGGTAGACCAAAGGAGACCTGGAGAATAGTAGAAAAGAAAAGGGCAGAGTTTGGCTTAAACCTGATGTAACACGAGGATTAGTGCAGAGAACCAAGAAACTTGGCGAGAGTGAAAGAAAGGACAAAAAGATGATGATGATGATGATGTTGACTCTCCGAGCTAACATGATTTGACATCATATTCAATGTAACAAGCCATGCCATTGGCTCTTTCATGCTCATAGGCCAAGTCATAATTTAATACAATGTATGGTACACTTATTTCTAGGAACAAATTTTACAACTAGTATTCAGGACCGGTCATAACCAGACAAAAATTTTGATCGAGGCAATATCAGAAAAAGAACAAGAACAGTCCTTTTGTGGGTATTTATTTTTTTAGTACACTGCCTCTTACAGGATCCTAAGTAACAAAATAACTTTAAAATTTTAGCGAGGCAAGTAACTCAGTTCCCCTGTTAGGATAATTTAGAATTCATAACATTATAATATTATTTTGCCTTGAAAGTTAGGTTTCACCAGCCATAATGACATAGATACATGGGAGAAAGATGCAAAGAGTAGTTTGTAGGAAGTGAAAATTCCTTTACTAAACACTAATGTGTTACTGACTGCCAGTGAATAAAAATAAATCTCACTACCACTAACTTTAGAATCCTAATTCAAACAATTTTAACTTTAATTTACACTATTATGTTGAGAGTATAGTTTTTACCGAAGGGAAGGGAAAATAATTGCCAGATCTGATTATGCAAAAGTTTCGAGTTTAAGCCTGTAATTCTAATATTTCAGGTTTCCATTGACCGAATTAAAAAAAATGCGAATCTAATCTAACAAACAATCTAAGTCGAGGTCAATATTAAGTTTCTAAGCTTATATTAATTTTGTAAACGTGCACTTCACCAATAAAATGCCGAACTACTAATGTCACAGAATGGAATTGAAATTTGTTGACAGATAGGTTAAATCTTCCTGGAGTGATTTACGGCGAAGTACATCGTTCGTGATCTCCTGTAGACAGAAAACACTCAGAATGGATTAAGCTTAACCTACAATTCTTGGTAGAGCCGGTAAAACCTATAAGCTCTTACTTAAGTTCAGTTGTCGATTGTATGGCTTTAACTTAAAAAATTCAAACGCTACAGCTTCTAGCTTCACGGGTTAATATAAAGTGCCTCTTAGTGGCCAGAAAAACATTTATTTCTGACCATCGACTATAAAACATACGACTATAATCGATAATTAAGCATATCGTATCACATGATGCTGAAATGTACAATTTGATCACGCTCAACAGAATTGTCACAATCCAGTACAGCAAAACTTGTGGTAAAATGGCTGAATTAAAAGTCTCTACAGTGCAACAGTTCAGAATGCAATAGACTTACCGCGAATTGTTCTACGGTGATGGATATTTGACGTATGTATAATCCTTCCACAGTGTTTTCGAAGTCGAAGAACCCATCATTGTGCGTTCTAAGGGCTTGGCAGCCGCGCCTTACTTAAATCATGTGCCTGCCTTCCACGCGTGTGAGCAATTTCTCGCGGGTTTCGGCCCGCGATAAAATTGTCCACGTTCTTCAAATTTTTATGTCTTTTCAGTATTATTTATTTAGTTTAACCGGAATTGGAAGAATATTTCGCTACCTTAGAGTAAAAAAAGAGGAGCTTCAGGTTGAGTTCATTCAGAGCTAGTCAAAGAGAATGTTGAAAACGTGTGTGAGAGGGACCATAGGCCAAAGAGGTACCGCGGCGGGCACAAAAGCGCTTGAAGATGGAGCCGAATGATTTCAACCGACTTACGATCAGGCCTATCGACCCGGAAGTTGAAAAGCAGCTGCCCACCCCCATCTATGTTGTTAAATTTCCCCTTGTAAAGATAAAGCAATCCCTCTATAGCATCCTTTACCACAGATCAATAAAAATCTTGAGGTTCATGATGGGACACCTGTGCGCGCCGAGGCTGGAATGCATTAGGGAGTTTAAGAAACCACGACGCGACGCCGAGGACAGCGTCGATTGAAAATGACTTTATATTTACCTACGAATCTCGCGATACTCTTAAATCATTTTCCTTTGTTTCTCTGTGTCAAAACTTTCACGAAAATGAATCTGGGACAGCGCGAAACATTTGAAATAAAAATAAAAATAAAATTAGCCGCCGTGGTTCACGTTCTCCGGACAACGCAGAATTTGGTCACTCACGTTGCTTTGTAGAGGACGGCAAAGAAATATATCATGAATTATAACGCTCGCGCACGATGCACAGCCATTGTTCTCCTCATTAAACCTTTTGTTTAGCGACGATGCCGTCGCCGTTGCCGTCGTTGTTTTCTTCCCTTTATCAGGTCAAACACCATTAAATTTGCTGGGTAAAAAATTCATCAGTTTTGGTACAGAGCCTTCTTATAGAAGAAGGAAGGCTCTAGCAGGGGTAAGAGAAAATCCTGAAGGATCGCAAAATAGATTGTTCCGGTTTATAAACTGGATGCAACATGGATGTGATACCGGCTGTCTTAGCTGTGAAGACCGCGAGACAAGAACCCTACAGCTGAGATCAGACATGCCATTTCCGGTAAAATGAGGTAGAAGGCCAGCAAACTGGATCAGGGTAACCTTTTTCTTGATAACATAACTCCAGACTGTTTTGTACACCGTGGACATCTGCCATAAAAAGGCGGCGTAAAGCGTGACCTTTAGGTGTATAATCAAAACTGAATGTAAGGTCGAGGACTGGAAGGCCAGGAGGAGTGGTCTATTGAGGCCAATATTTCGACTTAGAAAATAAGTCTCTCTCAACTGGCCAGGGCTATGTTGAAATAAAATACTATAACGGTTTATTTAAGGTTTAATAACTTCAATAGACCGCCCCCTCACTTTTTCAGGCTGCCAGCCTTACATTCAGGGAAAAAAAGAAAAAAAAAAATGATTAAAACAAGGTGGGGGAGGGGCAGGGGGTAAAAAAGCTAGCATGACCCGGTTGATTGAACATGTAAAGTAATAAACGCAATAATAAACGTAGTTAGCTTTTAGAGTTTTACCCTCTTTAAACAAAAAATGATTTTGCGTTGTTAATACCGTGGAAGCTACACGAGAGTTTTGAATTAGCTAAATGACAATTTAACTTAACTAATGTTGCCATGCCAATCGCAGTGCTCCTACCCTCCACCACAATTGATTTGGTTCCACTGTGTTTTACATGTAATTGTGCCTTTATTATTATTTTTCTTTATTATGTTCTAGCTTTTACCTATATAATTATCAGCTGCTGCGCCTGGAACTGTTTTGCGCAAACAAAATATTGTTTCGATGGCAACGTTCACGTTTCGGTAAGAAAACCGGGAGAAATAAAAGTTTTGGTAATCAACAATACAAAAAGCTCTGCTTTCTAGCTAGTAAAAGTTGAAGTCGTTGAACGGCCAAACATCTTTATAGTCAGGATCGGATCATCAAGGTCATTCTTTCCCTGCAGTAGACCTGAAATTTAGTCATGGATAAATCTAATGCAATACTTATTCATTATTTTCAATTCCATACAATGCGAACTTTTTCCAAAGGGTAAGTGAACTCATCGCTCGAAACAACATTTGCCTATGCAGCCATCTGAAACAAAAAACAAAACAAAACTGAAACAAAAATTGACTGAGTCGCAAGACTTGCTAGCGTTTTCAAACCTGAGGAACGGAGAGTTTCTCGCCCGCTAGTCGCGAGAAAATTGGGGAGAGAGCTTGTCGAAGTGGTGGAGCGAGCGAGGTTAGAATGTGGAAAAAAGCGGGAAGAAGCTCTTTCGTTTGGACCGTAGCACTTGCTATGCAGGCTAACTTCCCAGGCCGCCGGAGAAACAACAACAACAAAAAATAGATAAATAAATAAAATAAAATTAAAAAAAAAGAGAGATCGCACTGTGCAGGTCATGAGCTTTGGGCGCCTCGATTCGATGACCGGTTCATAAAGTTCGCTATGAGAATCACTTTTTCCGCTATCATCCATAAGCAAACTAAGATCTTTATTACTGAATATATTATTATTGTTATTTTTTGTAGGAAAAGAAAACAAGAAAGCTTATTTTGAAGTGAAATTTGCGGAGGTTGAACCAATCTGCTACCCAGTGGCTTGGCTGTTTAGGTTGAAACTAAGCCAAGCGGAAATAAACAGCTGATGAATTCGCAAAACCCGGCTGATCATCAAAACAGCTGATTGGAAACGGGTGACTGGATTTGTTTCCTTTATTACCTGCGAAAGCCAATTGAAAGAAACCATTTCGGGTGCCGGTCGAATGAACACATCAACTGTAAACACTGTCTTGCAACGTCCACTCTGATTGGTCGGGAAGAGTGAGGTATTGTTTTAGGACGGTAACAAGAATTTAGTTATTTGGAATTGAAAATTGTGTAGTTTTTCTTCGTTTTACACGTTTGGGGTTACTTAAAGAAAGTAAAAGGGTTTATTTTGAACGTTTATTTGTGGTAGAAAGTGACACTTTTGTTTAAAAAAAAATAGTTTTAGTCCGTTTTTATGCGTTTTTGGGTAAGTGTTTTCATATGATCAAAAGCTATCTTCATAGAAACCTGGAATGTGGCATTCCTCTGCTGTGCCGCATTCAAATTTTTAACTTCAGCCTTCGGTCACCTGATCAATAAAGACAGCTGTTTCCCGCCGATTTAGGTGCTTTTCAAGTGAGGTACTCTTTCGCTTGTTTGCTGTGAATTGCAGCAAATCTTCGCGCTTGTAATAATCTTTCGCTAGGAAACAATAGAAATAAGACTTGTGAGTGGAATTGTAAGCTCTGCGTTCCTCTGAGGTGAATGAAAATGTCATTTTATACCCGAACTGCCGACAAACGTAAAGCTTTCGAGGTGGACGAGCTCTACGAGGATGACGATTGCAGGTAACAGATGATGTCAGTTTCATCTGCATTTCTGCATTTCGTTTCCTCACGAAACACCTCATTCTTTTCTTTTCCCTTTTGTATTGTGTTTTTTACAGGTTTAAAGTCGAAGTGGTGGACAATCGAGAGCGGGAGCGAAAACTGCGGCGGGAAATTGCAAACTCGAACGAGCGACGACGTATGCAAAGTATTAACTCCGGTTTCCAAGCACTGAGATTGCTGATTCCACACAGCGAAGGTGAAAAATTAAGCAAGGTAATTTTTCATTCAATTATCACAGTAAATAGAGTTGATCGAGTTTCAGTGATCTAGAGCTGGAGAAATGAGATCTCTGTACTGACTTTATATTTGTTAATCTCGTTAACAGGCTGCAATCCTGCAGCAGACGGCCGAGTATATTTTTGCCCTGGAGCAAGACAAAACTCGTCTTCTGCAGCAGAACACGACTTTGAAGCGAATTCTGAGCCAGTGCGATCGAGAGGGAGCAAACAGTACGGATTCAAAGCGATCTTCGCCGAAAAAAGCCAGAACTGATCAAGAACCACGTGCGCAGGAAAATATCAAGGACGATGAAAACAACAACGTTTTACACAGCGATGACTACGTTGAAGAAATACAAAAGGAACTCATTGAACTGAGGTGCCAGCTGGAACGTGAAAGGAGGCTGCGGATCAACGTGGAAGATAAAAAGAAGCAACTTGAATTAGATTTGGCGGATGCTAAATCGAAATCAAACGAAAAACCGCAAAAAGCGCTCGCAACATCTCGCCAAAACTTAGACACGATCGTCCAAGCGATCAAACATCTCGAAGGCGACAAACCCGATCTCATCGAAACCCCTACAAAATGTAAAGCCGAAGCTTCGACGAACGGCTCATCAAGCAGTGAAAATGCTTCCAGACGGCTCATAGTTTAAACTCGTCTCGAGAGTTTTATTGAGCCTCCATGATTGGAACAGCTGACTGGCGTGGCCGTAAGGTGAATGTATGCAGATTACTCATGCATGTCAGATCGATGGAATTCATGCATGGTAATTTGTTTGTGTATGGATTTTTACATTCATGTATAAATTTTCTTATCTCTCTTCTAGTTCTTTAAACACTTTGTCGGTGATGTTTTAGACTTTTAACGGTTTTGGCGTGACTGATAATCACATGCGTGCAGGCTTCACGCTATCCGGAAGTGTAAAATTGTACAGCATGCATGATGTTGATCATCTTTGCTAACTTTCGTAGGTGACGTGCCTGTGTGAATATGTAAATAATTTTTATGATATAATCAACAACTTTCAAGTCTCCCATGGGGATCTTGCATTATCTGAGAGGGTGTTTTTTTTTTTATTTTGCCCTTTAAATTCTAAGAGTGATTGCTAGTTAGCTTCTGTTTATACCAGAAGAACACTGGGAAGCAAATAGGTTATGAAGGAAAAAAGAATGTAATCAGCTTGCTACCAGCCCTCACCAGCACGATAAATGTTTGACATTTTGTAGGGAGAATGTTGTATCTTCAGCTCTTATGGAGCTCAGTCATGGTATTTTGAGTTGTAATAGTTAACTAAGATAGAGAAACACCAAAGAGATAATACTAAACCATAAGGGAAAAAGGATCTGCAAGGATGGAGAAGATTGACATGGATTACAAATGACAAACTTGAAAAATTTAGGCTACACTTTTCAAGATGTGCAAACCGTGACGTAGCTCCTTCAAATACAATGACTAAAAGTCTATTTGGCCATCCCAGGAAATGTTTTGTTTCTTCTCTCTCATCCAACCCAATTTTGGGAGAAAATGAAAGATTGATTCAAATATTGAAATATTCAAGTTAAAAAAATTTGGTGAGTTTTTTCATACTTTGTGTAGCATAGCTGAACATTACATCATGATTGTTCACAGATGCTTTTTGGATGCAGTTTGAAGCAACTTTTCTGCCCCTTCAAATATTACTCTCTATCATCAGTTTTAAATGGAACATTTTACTGGGATGGCCCTATCAAGAAATTTCCATTTTTTTAACTTTTATGTTTTTACGTGTACACAGTCTGATCTGGTCAAGTTTGTCAGATTTTATACCCTGCTGGCAGTCACTTTTTTATCATCTCAGGGAGTAAAATTAAGATAGAGTAAACAAGACAGTGAATACGCAGTGTCAGCCAATGCTCTAATTTGTAAAATAATACTTCCTGTTTACAGGCTTTGATTGAATATAGTCACAGAACTTAAAGTAATGTAAAATAGTGCAGGGACTTTCGGGTCATAATAACCTTTTTATAGCTGAAAAAATACCTGGAAGACTTTCAGCTTTTGATAGCTATTCCTTGTGATTCAGTGGTAGATCCAGACCTTGATTCAGTTTGCACGGCTTCAAAAAAATCCTGTGCAGTTGTCCAGACAAGTAAATAAATTATTCCTGTTGGACAGATAAGTTTTTTATGCTCTCTTACAAAATGAGTTATGCCCCAGGCAAACCTTAGATTTGCTCTCTGAAATATGATTTTGAAACAAAAAGTAGCAAACTTAAGTAAGCTGAAACTAACTTGGGTGAGTAAAATTTAAAAGTTTCTTGTCAGAAGGGCAAGCCAGAAGATCAAGTGGGCCCAGATTAGAGGAGCACTGAGTTGATTTTTACAAAAAAGAAAGTTGATCATAGGAAGAAGGCGATATAGTGTTATTTCCTGGGTCTGCCACTGTCAGTGGTATAACATTTGTGACATAAACAAGTTAGTATTCAACCACACTAATACTTTGTAAATTGATACGTTTTGTATACTAGGTGTTTGAAACACTCCAAAATTTTGCTTGTCATCCTCATACCTTTTGCTACAAATTTGTTAGAATCGATGCTGTGCTAACAGGTCGCCCTTTTGAAGTATAATATTACAGGTTCTCTCAGCCCTGTGATGGAACAATTTTCAATCATTTGAGTGTTATAAAACCAAAACAAAAGTAATTATGGCCAATCACAAAAACTATTTACACAGACAATCCAGTGAACCAAACAAACCTCGTTGAAGCAAACACATGCAGCAGATGCAAAGTGCATGTGCGAGTGAGTCACGATTGGGTTTGGTCTTCCTAGTGATTAGATGACAAACTGGTGTGAGTTTTCAAGCCAACTCCTTAGCATTGTACTGCAAAGCCAAGGCAAATGTAAGTTATTTTTGAAATTCGAGTGAAACCATTCTTTGAAATCTGGGCTGTTCAGTATGTTTAAGGAACTGATCATTGATCAAATTCTTTCAACCATTGTATTAAGAATTCTTCATGAACAGCAATGCAAATCGAATATTGAAGTCAGCTTATATAAATGTTTCACATATTAGTAACACTAGAATTACACAATATCTCATTTGAGATTTGCTTATTAACTTATTTGGAACTTATAGACACAATTTTATATGTTCTAAGTTTTTTAGACATAGTATTTATGTAATGTATTTTCACCATGTGAAGCTTACACAGTAAGGACAGTAAAGGAACATAAGAATAGGAAAGGATAATAAGCTCACAATCAAACAAAAGGTTTTGACAACTGGTGTTCTTGGGTCATAAACTTAGCAAGGTTGACGAAATTTTATCCTCCCCCTACTTTGAACACTTGATTAAAATACTGTAGGGAGTACTTCTGGTTTCAATTTAGACTCTCTACTGTTAAGCCTTTTTATGTGGCATTTTCTTCTTACATTTTTCTTCCCTATTCTCAACAATCAGACTTTCTGTGCAGGCTTGTAAATCTAAGGGTGTGAATTAGATTCATGTAATGATATTTATTTGTGGTGTTCCTCTGCCAATAATATGTTTTAGTGAGTACTGTCTAGATACGTACATTTGTATGCAGATGTGACTTGCATTGTTATGTGAATTTGCTAAAATAAAA